GAGATTGCACAATGATTTTATAGAGGTTCGGTCCAACCACTTGGAACCTAGTCCTCTACCTTGGCTTCACTCACCAAGGATTTCCTCCACACTCTCCACTAGCAAAAACAATGGTGGCTTAAAGGAGCCACTCAATCCTTTACAGGAAGAAGGGTTTCTCTCAAATCTCACCCCTTTACACTTTAACCCCAAAGATCCTCTCTTCAGATCACTCTTGAAGAAATCAACACATCCCTAAGATCACTCACTAATAGCACAAGAAGAGGATTACAAGTAAAGATCTCTCAAAGATCAAAAACTCAAGTTAAAGCTCATATAGGTAGGTAAAGATATTCAATACAATACTCTCTAAACTTCTTCACATCTGCTACCAACTATATTTATAGTCCCTTGCTCGAAAATAGCCGTTTCTAGCCATTGGGGGTCATTAAATGCTCTGCAGGACACAAAGCTCGAGCTGCAGGATTGTCAGGAGAGCCGGCTTAACTTTATAGAGCCGGCTCAGTAGAGCCGGCTTATAATTTCAGAGTCGGCTATCCGGGTTTGCAGCACATTCTGTTTTTCTCGAGAGCCGGCTGCAAGATATTGAGCCGACTTTGAAACTCCGACTTTAAATATATTAAATATTCTTCAAATAAGTCGACCGTTGTGCATTAAATGCACCCTCACAGCCGGCTATAAAGTTGGAGCCGGCTTTGCGTCTTTTCTCCCCGCGCGCCAAGCTATGGTCTTCAAATTTTTGCCTATAGAGCCGGCTGCAGCTTTCAAGAGCTGGCTCTCTGCCATTTTGAATCCTTTTGGTTTATTTTTAGTGCAATCCAAGTTTACTTGCAATCTTTTAGCAACTTAACTACACACTTAAATAAACCAATTAGTCATTCAAATGTGTTTTGTAATCATCAAAATCATAGGTACAACAATCTCCCCCTTTTTGATGATGACAAAACACTTTGTGAATGAATTAATGAAATCACATATATACTTCAATATTAACTAGAATTTCAACACAAGGTACTCTAAAAAATGACATTAAATTCAACATATTCTCTCCCCCTTTTTGTCATTCATCAAAAAAGCACATAATCAACAAACTTCCCCTTAATTCATGCACATCAATATTTAAAGCATTTAAGCATGATAACCATTAAGAAAATTAATATTTAAGCACAAAATGCTCCCCCTTACTTCATGCTATCAACCTCATCAAGAATATGTAATGAATATAATCATCAATCATCATCAATATAGTACCATAGATAACAAAAGTCATGAATACAATCATCAACCAATAAACTCCCCCTCAATAAGAGCATATAATCATCAAAATCATAGACAATCAATACCAAAAGTCATAAACTGCAGGAGAGCCGGCTCTAGTCCTGAAGCCGGCTTAATTCTAGAGAGAGAAGCCCAAATTTTCAAAAAGCTGCAGGAGAGCCGGTTCTATTCTTGGAGCCGGCTTAACTCTAGAGAGAGAAGACTCTCGGGTTTTTGGTGGAGCCGGCTGTGAGAAAGGTTGAGCCGGTTCTACTGGCCTTGATTGACACAAACAGAAAGTTTGGGGCTGTTTTGAAGGGAATGCACCTTGATTTGATATTTCTTCATTTAACTAAGTTTAAATTGGACATCCACTACTAAATAGTGCAACTTTAGTCATATATCAATGAATGCAACATCAAATAGCATGAATATGATCAAGGTACACAAATCAAAGCATCAATATACACAAATTCTAATAATCAAATTCATTAATTTCAAAAAATCATATCAAGTACTTGGAAAGACACATCAAATGGAATCATACTCAACAAGCATATGTATCAAAGAGTGAGCTCATATAAACAAATCATTAATAGTCATGTTGAAGTAACTATACTCAATGAATAAATGCAATAAAATAAATAATACCAATTTGAGAACATGAGTGGAGCATTCAAAAACAAATTTCCTTTGCACTTCCACTCCAACATTCTTGTTGAGGCATAAGTCCTTTTAAGATCTACTTTGCTTTCCTTAGTGACTTTGCCATCAACTTTTCCTACAAAACAAAATTAAGTTTTGATTTTTGGTACCCAAATTTGCTTGGGTCCATGAGGGTTAGTGCTTAAAGTTCCTTTTGGAACCCAAATTTGCTTCACTTTACCTTGAGCTATCAATCTCTTCAAAGGACATACATAAGCAAAGTGTCCATTTGCACCACAACAATAGCACGTAACATTAGGATGATAGGATTGACTTGCTCTTACAAAGGTAGTCTTAAAAGTCTTTTGCTTTTTAGAATAATCAAATCCAACGCCCCCTTTGTCATAAATATTTCTTTGAGATTTTAAGATAGAATCAAATTTTTCTTTACTCAAAGTAAATTTGGAAATCACATTTTCAAGATCACAAGTTTTTCTCTTTAAAACCTCATTTTCCTTCTTTAAATCTTCATTTCCTTTCTTTAAATCCTCATTTTCCTTTTTCAAAGCATTATTAGACTCCTCATTCTTTAAAGAAGTAATCTCACCATTTAAAAAGGTATTCTCTTTAACTAAAACCTCATTTTGTTTTGAGAGAGATTCAATCTCATTTCTAAGCAATGAAATGGTTTTTAGTAAGAGCAATATTGTCATTTCCTAGTTTCTTAATGTCATTCATAGAGCAATCAAGAACTTTGCATAAATCATCATAAGAATACTCAAATGAACTTTCATTAATTGAACTAGAAAAGTTAGAGTTTACCTCCTCATCATTGTTG